ACTGGTAGTAGGTCATGAATGGCTTTCCAAGGAGAATTGCTTGTGGTCCTAGCTCTGATTCCAGCGTCCCATCCATTATGCTCCAACCCATGAATACTTGCCACTATTCTAGCCCAAAGCTTCTCCTTCTCCAATGGGAATCTCCACAACCACTTTCCCAACATAGTCATATTCCTTTTCCTAATATTCCCAAGCCCCAAGCCACCACAAGTCTTACTCCTACAAACTATCTCCCAGCTCACTCTATGATCCCTCTTTTCCTCTCCCGGTTCCCACAGGAAATCATGCTTCACTTTGATGGCTGCTCCTAGGAAAATATATGACCCTCTGAAATGATATGTGTTTAAAGATTCTATCGGTACATGCTTGGCCTTTTTGGCTCAGGTGATTGAACTAAAGTTATTTGGAGCCTCACTCTGATACAATTAATAGGCTCAGGATAGGTAGAAGTGGAAGGTGACTCAAAGGTGGTTTATTGGAGGGTTGAGGCTTCACAGATGGCGTTAATCCTGGTGTCAACAAAGTGGGAGGAAAGGCTCCCTAACCTGTTTCAGGAAGCCCTACCAAGGCCTGTATCTGACCACAGGCCTATTCTACTTGGTGGGGAGGGCTTGAGGAGAAAGCCAGGTCCTTTTCGATTTGAACATTTATGGTCTCAGGATGCCGGTTTCGAAGCAACGTTGAAGGATTAGTGGCTGTCCTTCGAAGTAGAAGGTTCAGGATCTCACATCTTAGCCAAGAAGCTACGGTTATTGAAAGGAGAAAAATCTTAAACTGGAAGAAAAACAGTTTTAAGGCAGTAGAATTAAAGAAAAGAGAGTTGTTAAGCACCATTGAAGAGCTGGATAGAAAAGAGAATCTTGTGAACCTATCTGAAGACGAGAAGGCAGCTAGGGCCTAGGAATGAGGCTAAATCGTGTTTTGATAGAGCAGCATACCAGGAAGAGATTAAGTGGAGGCAACGGGCTAAAATCTCTTGGCTGAAGAGAGGGCATAGGAATACAAAGTACTTCCATGCAGTTGCAAATTGCCGCTGAAGGGAAAGTACTCTGAAGAAGCTGCAGGTGGGGGAAAGGTTTATCGAGGATGAAACTTCTATTAAGGAGGTGGTGAAATTTTTTAAGAATTTATACAAGTATGGCAGATTCGTCCAGGTTTGGATGGGGGCCTTTTTGAAGCCATTTCCAATAGTCAGAGAGATGACTTAGAGAAACCTTTCTCGGAAGAGGAAGTTTGGGAGGTTGTCTTGAGCCTAGAGGGAGAGAAGACCCCTGGCCATGATGGTTTCACAATGCTGTTCTTCGAGAAATGTTGGGAGTTTCCTGAAGCTGGATGTGATGAAAGCTTTGTTGGATTTTCACAACAGAGCCTCCTTGGAATGTAGTTTAAATTTTTTTTTTTTTTATGAATGATGGAACGTAGTTTTTTTTTATCAATATGATGGAACGTAGTTTAAATGCTACATTTATAACATTGATTCCAAAGGTTAAGAACTCCATTGTATCTCAGATTACAAACCCATAAGTTTGGTAGGATGTTTTTACAAAATTCTGGCGAAAACCCTTGCTAATAGAATGAGGAAGGTACTTTCAGAGATCATTTCAGATGTGCAGGGGGCATTCCTGCCCGGCCGGCTGTTATTAGAAGGTGTTCTAGTTGCTAATGAGCTGGTGGACTCAAAATTAAGGAGTGGGAGTAATGGGGTGGTATGCAAAATCAATTTAGATAAGTCATACGATCATGTAAACTGGAGGTTCCTTGACTCGGTGTTGCAGAAATTGAACTTTGGCCAGAAATGGAGGAATTGGATCAGAGTGTGCATATCTACTGCTAAATTTTCTATCCTTGTGACTTGTGAATGGGTCATCTTCTGGTTTTTTTAGAAGTTCAAGCGGTCTTCAACAGGAACTGTGCATGGAACTAGAAACTGTGGATGGGATGCTGGGCCTGCCCCCACATCAGCTGGTTGCTCAGTTTGGAAAGGAATTGAGAAGGTCATCCTAATTTCATCCAAGGGGTGAGGCTGAAATTAGGGGAATGGCAACAGGGTTAGATTCTGACAAGACACTTGGTGCAATAGTTCTGCTATAATGGAGGTTTTCCCTTCACTATTCCTTATAGCAGAAGATAGGGATGTGATGATGACAGATCAGTTTGAGTGGCATGGAAATTCAGGATACTGGTGTCCAAATTTTAGGAGGCATCTCAATGACTGGGAAGTTTCAGATCTGCTAGAGCTGCTCCAACTAATTCAGGATCATCAACCGAATCCAAATCAGCAAGATTCTAGAATTTGGAAGTGGGCTAGGGATGGGATTTTCTCGGTAAAGTTCTTTTATTTGAAGCTGAATGCTGGTTAGTCTCAGGCTTTTCCATGGAAAGAGACTTGGCTCCCTCACATTCCTACTAAAGTCTCCTTAGTCTGGACAGCAGTTCATGGCAAATGTCTTTCCAAGGATCAGTTGAACAGGAAGGGTTTGGTGCTGTCCTCCCTAAGCTGTGTGATGAGCAATGAGGAAGCTGAATCTGTAGATCACTTATTTATTCATTGTAAGGCTGCTCATTTGCTGTGCAGCCACTTCTGCTCCCTGTTAAATGTCAGGTGGTGCTTACCCAGATCACTATCTGACTTGCTTTTCCCTTGGAAGTTGTCGGGCTTAAGCAACAGGGGTAAGGTGCTGTGGTGTGTGATCCCTCATGTGGTGTGTTGGGTCCTGTGGAAAGAAAGAAATAGTAGGATTTTTGAAGGACAGTTCTGCTCCTTGGATGATTTGGTGGTTCAGGCAATGGCTGCTCTTCATTCTTGGCTTTCGGCCAAGGATTCTTTTAAGCATATCCCTCATCATCAGTATTTTGATCATGGCTTTTTGTTTACCTGATTTCATTGGTTGTC